GCCGACGCGTCGAAGCGATCCCGCCGTATCAACCGTGAACGAAAAGAGATCGTCCCGCAATTTATTCTTCGGGGCTTTGATACTCCGATTCCGACCAACTTTCCGTCGCTTCACCGTTGGTCGAAGCCCCATAGCGGTACTCATCCACTGCGGCGGGGTAGGTCGGATCGAGAATGGCCTGAAAGCGAACCCACAGCTTGGCCAACTCTTCGTCCTGCTGCATCTGTTCCAGGCTAACCCGATAGCTCGACTCGTCGGTGTAGTGATACATCTCGAGCCACTGATAGGGGTCGGTAGCGCTCTGCAGGTAGGTCGGCGATTGCGGAAGAAAGCGGTGGTAAATCGCGTCGGCCTGTTGCCGGATGGCGAGGTACTCACCCATCTTTGCCGGCTTGATGCGATAACGAAATGTCTTAAGGAACATCGTCAGACAATATCCTGCTGCCGTGTCGTCGTGCGTGTCTTACGAAGGGCGGCCAAAGCCAGTCTAAGTGGGCGCTACATTCTCGTCAGTTGATAGTACGTCGAGACCGTCGCCAATATCAGGAAAAACGCCCCCGTCAGAACCAGCCCGATGCGAATGAACCAATTCGGCCGCAAGGCTTTCGGCAGCAGCACCAGGTTCAGGGCTAGCGTGTGCCAGCAACTGAACCCCAGGGCGAAGTTCATTATCATCGTAGCATAAAGCAGGAGTTGTTTGGGCTTTCCGAGATGCAACATCGTGAGCCCGAAGACGGCAAATATCAGTAAAACGCTGAAATATACCCAACGAATATTCGAGGGATCGAGCTTTCGCAGGCTCCCGCTGGCGGTCCAAAACACGTCGATCCAGCGGCGAATCAGCCCGTCGGCACTGGTGGCCATGGTGGGGGCCAGCACCAGAAATCCGCAGAATAGGGTCATCAGCCAGGTGATATGTCCCAGCGTCGATCCGTTCTCCTGAGTCACCCGATCGGCCACCGCGTCGGCCGTCATCCCCGCCGCGGTCCAGTCGTTGGCCACCGTGCCCCGCGGCAGGAACTCCACCGAAAGCATGCTCGGCAGGGCCAGCCCTAGAAAACAGGCCGGCATCCACACGGCCAACTGATCGCGAAGCACGTGCTTGTACCACCGCTTCCAACGCGGCATCGCCTCGGGCGTCACCTCGAACACGGTGCCTACGTGCGATAGCTTCACGTTCCGCCCACCAATCACGCTGGGGATGGCGCCCACGTGCCACCCCATACCCCAACCCTGGTCGCGGGTGTAGTTGCTGATCGGCGTATTGGTCAGCCCGCCAGATCCGGCGATGGCCACTAAGGCGGCAATCGAAGCGATGAGTGAAAGGTCGATCATGTTCAGCATCTCGCCGCCGCGACCTTCGAACATCGCCACAAAGATGTTGTCGACACTATCGCCGTCCAGCTTGCCGTCGCCGTCGGCATCTTCATAGGCATCGGGTTGTCCGTCGCCATCGTAGTCGGGCCAACTGTCGGGGGTGCCGTCGCCGGTGGTGTCGAGCGTCGGTGCCGCTGCCTTCGTCGCCCATTCGTTTACATCCAGCTTCCCGTCTTTGTCCCAGTCTTCGTTGGGGTCGAGTTGCCCGTTGTTGTTCAGGTCTTCGCCCCGCCGAACGGGGAACGTGCCGAACTTGAAGAACCCGCTGGTGATTTCCTTCCACGTGCCGGCATGACTGTAAAACACGGTGATTAGCAGCAAGAAGCCCAGCACGACGACAATCTTGAACGCCATGATGCCCTTGAGCGCGTTGTAAATCTTGCCCCCGAACACCAAAGGAACCAGCGCCAACAAGAACACGCCGTACGAAAGGTTCTTCATCAGCGCTTGATGTTCCAGGTTCGTCGCGTCGGGTATTTCACCCAACAGCACAGCCGCCGCAGGAATCGCCGCGTTGGCCGCCAGGTAGGGAAACACCGCCCCAAAGTCGAGAACCAGGTAGATGCACAGCCAGAACATCGGTCCCGGCAAGGTTCGGAACTTGCCCGTGAAGATTGGCTCGCCGCTGTACAGCGTGTAGCGACTGATCTCGATGTTGTAGAGCACTTGCCCCAAGATGCTGAGTGTGGCCAGCCACAACAACGCACCACCGTACTTAGCGGTCACCGTGGGGCCCATCAGCCATTCACCACCGCCGATGGCCGAACCGCCCATCAACAGCCCCGGCCCAAGCAGCGCGAACCAGTGGCGCCACGTCCAGCGTGGAGCATCGATCAGCTCCCCGGTATTCCAGGTCGGCATTTGCTTCGAACCTGGATGTGGTGCAACGAACTCCGAGACCGGTGGCGCAGCGACAGTTTCCTGGGCCATCAATTATCCTCAATCAATCAGGCACCCCAATGAGTTTTGTTCGGCCTTTGAAGATGGCAGCTAGAAACGCCCGGTGCAAGCAAGTATTTGCGATTCCATGCACGAGAAGAGAGCCGTTTGTTGATTCTCGGCCCTCCAGCGGGTATGTTCCGCGCGGTTTATCTGCCGAATGTGCGAAATCGTTCGGCAGCAGCTTCGGGCTTGAAGAGTTGAACCACAGGCCATCAAACAAAACTCCTCGCAGAGAATGCTTCCGATGAACGTGCTGGATCGTTTTCGTCTCGATGGCCGCAGAGCCGTGATTACTGGGGGCAGTCGAGGGCTGGGGTTCGAAATGGCCCGGGCCATGGCCGAAGCGGGGGCCGAAGTGGTGCTGGCCAGCCGCGATCTATCATCTGCCCAGCAATCCGCCGGGCAACTCACCGAGGCCGGCCTGAAGGCCCACGCCATCGAAGCCGACTTGAGCACTCCAGAGAAGACTACCGACTTTTGCCAACGGGTGCTCGAAGCCCACATGCCCATCGATATCTTGGTGAATAACGTCGGCGGTCGCCGCATCAACAACCCCACCGAAGATATGCCTCTTGAGACCTGGCAACAGATTCTCGACCTCAACCTCACACAGGCCTTTCTGTGCACCAAACTGCTGGGCGGTGAGATGCTAAAACGCAAGTACGGTCGGGTGATCAACATCAGCTCGATCTCGGCCACTATGGCCACCAAGCAAATGCGGGGACGTTCTTACGAGACTAGCAAAGCTGCCCTCTCGATGTTCACCCGCGCGGTCGCCGCCGATTGGGCTCCGAACGGCGTCACCGTGAATGCGATCGCCCCCGGCACGTTCCTCACCGACGCCAACCGTCGCTGGATCGAACAACGCCCCGAACTCAAACCCGAGATCGAATCGCAAGTGCCGATGGGGCGACTAGGCGACCCCGCCGAAATCGGCCCCCTGGCCGTCTACTTGGCCAGCGAAGCCTCCAGCTTCATGACCGGCTCCGTCGTGGTCATCGACGGCGGAAGAACCATCTGGTAGCAAGTGCTTCTCGCGCCACCATCGAAACATGCAGTTAAGATGTAACCTGCAACTAACGATCCACCTTCAGCTCAACAAATACGAACCACAAACCGCTCAACCCATGGCAACCCAACACCACACGCCGCTGCACTCCGACGTGGGACAACCTCTGTCGGAAATTGATACGCCGGCCTTATGCATCGATCTCGATCGGCTCGAGGCCAACATCCGCCGCATGGCCGAAGTTTGCGACAGCCACAACGTGCAGTGGCGGCCCCATTCCAAAGGCCACAAGTCACCCGAGATCGCCCGTCGTCAGGTTGAGGCCGGCGCGATCGGAGTCACCTGCGCCAAACTGGGCGAAGCCGAAATCATGGCCGCCGGGGGGATCCGCGACATCCTCGTCGCCAATCAACTTGTGGGCCCTCACAAGATGCGACGCCTGGCCGAGCTATGCCGCACGGCCGATCCGGTGGTGGCCGTCGATCACAAACATCAGGTCGACGCGATGAGTCAGGCCATCTCCGCGGCCGGCGTCCAACTGCGTGCGATCGTAGAAGTCGATGTCGGACTCGCCCGTTGCGGAACCGCCCCGGGAGAAGCCACGCTGGAACTCGCCCGTCATATCCACAACTCCCCAGGGCTCACGCTCTCAGGCATCATGGGCTACGAAGGGCATCTCCTCACCGTTAACGACCTGTCCGAAAAAGAACAGAACATTCGCCAAGCCATGGCCCAACTCGATGCCACTCGGGCGATGCTCATCGAAAACGATCTTCCCTGCCCCATCGTTTCGGCCGGCGGAACCGGTTCCTATGCCTACACGATCGACTGCCCCGGTATCACCGAACTGCAGGCCGGCGGGTTGATCTTCATGGACGTGTTCTACCGCGATCAATGCCAAGTCTCGGGCTTCGAACACGCACTCACGATTCAAGCCACCGTCGTGAGCCGCCCCACGCCCGATCGGGCCATCATCGATGCGGGCCGCAAGACGATGAACATGGAGTTGGAACTCCCAGATGTGCTCGACCGCCCCGGCATCCGAGTCGAACGCCTCTCCGCTGAGCACGGGCAACTGAAACTCGCCCCAGAGGCTCAAAACCTGGCCATCGGCGATCGGATCACGCTCATCCCCGGCTACGGCGATTTCACCACCGTGCTACACAACGAGTTCTACGCCACCCGCAACGGCAAGGTCGAAGCCGTGTGGCCCATCGCCGCCCGCGGACATTTGCGGTGATGAATTCCATAAATCTGACCACAATGTCGAATGCTGCTATCCTGTAGGGAACGCCCTCCGTGGCGTTCCGCGAATCGCCGTCACGCCCGGAACGCCACGAAGGGCGTTCCCTACAGCGATTCAAATCGTGGCGAGCGTGAGGGCTCGCCTGAACGGATCCCATCACAGCCCATCCGAGAAACCCATGGCCAACTACAGCGATGCAGAACTGATCGTGTATCTGAAGGAGGAGGGCTACAATCAAGCAGAGATTGATAAGGTCCTCGCCAAACTTCGCGATTACGATTCGTCGGTCTTTCGCCAGTCGGTGTTCGACGCCATCGAGACCGACAGCTTCGATCTCCGCTCGATCGTTGACGAAGCAATGGGCGAAGAATCCAGCGGCGATGCCGGCTGAGCATCACTCCGGAGAAGTCGTAGACCCACCGGCGTTCATTTCAAACTGAATGTGCCTTCGGCGGGTTCGGCATTCAGTTCGACGTTAATGAACTTGGCGTCGCGGACCACATCTTCGCCGGCGAACTCATACAAACGACGAGGCAGATGGGTCTCTTGATCGATCCAGATCTGGCGTTCGGTCAAGTCGTCGCCTTCCGTTTCGCCACTGGCTGTCACGACATAACACATGTCGCCGTCCAACTCCTGGTCTTCTAGACGTGTCAGTTCCCATCCGCCGGCCACGGCGTCACGAACTTCCTGGTATTCGACACCCCAGGCCGTTTCGAAGAACCGTCGGCCTCGCAGACCGGCAAGGCGTTCGTCGTCGGGTTCCAATGTAAGCACGACCATTGAGAACAGCCCGCCTTGCTTCCCGTGAATCACGCCCTCGGAATTCAGCGTGACGACCGCCCCTTCGTTATCGCCTTCGATCACGGTGTTGCGATACAGGTTCGGCTTCATGAACTCCACATCGAGCACCTTGTTCTCAGAGTCTTCACCCCTCGCCAGATAAACCACCGTCGTGCAGTGGTAGTTGTCGATGGTGTCCCAACGCTTCTCGGCCAGCCCTAAAACCTCGTCGGCCGTGAGTTCGACCTCGGGCTCCTCAGTTTCAACCGCTGCCGTTTCCGTCTCCACGGGCTCTACGGCCGCCGGCGGAGGCGCGACCTCGCGATTGCGGAGAGCTTGCAGTTCGTCTTGGTTCGCTTTCTCTGCCCAGGCGTAATAGCCCACTGCGGCCACACACACCACCAACACCACTGTGCCCAGGATAAGGAAACGCTTCATCGGAAATTCCCTGACTGACAGAACAAGAAGAGTGCACCCACGCCCACCGTTGTACCGCAGCAGCCACCCCCGGGACAATGTCAGGGCAAATTCAACGCCTCAAAGTTGCCTTATTCTCCCTGCAGTTGCAGGGCGAACGCGGCGCCCTCACTTCTTACTCCGCCATCCCGCCAGCACATTCGCCAGAAACTGCGAAGCGATAGCCCCCACCAGGAAGCCCAGCAAAGCGAGACCACCCAGGGTGGCGAGAACCTTCTGGCCGTCGCTACCTTCCGGGTCACCCAGGAACAGACCGGCCATGCCGATCAGACCCAGCGCCGCCAACCCGCTGGATATAACGACCATCGTGATCCGCGGGGCACCCTCTTCGCAATGGTAGATCCGCGACACCGGCGGGATCAGCAATGCAAACGCCGCGGCCGCCAGAAGGCCGGAAGACCCAACGCCGAGCGCCACACTTCCCAGGCAGAGTAGCGACCCCAGCACACACAAGCCCACGATGCTGGCCGTGATCTTCTCTTCTCGCGAGAGTGCCATGCGGCCGAACGGGTCGAGAAACAACATCAGGTTGAATAGCGGGCTCGCAATCCACGTTGAAAGTGCGAACACGGCGTAAACCACCACAATCGGCGTCACCCATGGTGCCAGCGAAGGGTTTTGGTCGGCTAAGGATCTGAGGATTCGCACTCCTAAGAATGCCCCCAGGATGATCATCCATTGTCCGCGTCCGCTGAACTTCGAGATCCACAAGAAGTACCACAGCATGGGCCGGTACAGAATCCGTTTGGCCTTCAGCGCTTCGACAATGCCCATCCGGGCCCATTCGTTGTTGGGCTCCAGACGAAGTGCCTCGCGAAAGTGCTCCATCGCCTTCTGGTACTTCCCCTCGTCCAGCAACGTCCAGCCCAGGTTGGCGTGGCTCCACGAGTTCTCCGGGTCGCGTGCCAACGCTCCTTCGATCGCCGCCTGAGCATCCGCCTTGCGGTTCGTCTTCACCAACGCGCGGGCTTTGATGTTCGTGCTGTCGACATGCTCGGGATCGATCTTCAGCCCTTCGTCGGCGGCCTCCAGAGCGGCTTCCCACTTGCTTTGGTTGAGGCGAATTTGCCCCAAGTGAGCATAGAAATCGGGATCTTCCGGATTCAGATCGATGGCGTGGCGAATCGCCACTTCAGCCTCGTCGAATCGATTCCGCTTTTGAAAGACCACCGCCTGCGCGTAAAAGCCATACGGATGCTCAGGCGCGAGTTCGATCGCGGTGCCCGCCTCCTGGCTGGCCTCCTCGTATTTCCCCATTTCAGCCAAACAAAGGGCCAACGTGGCGTGGGCGATCGGGTCGTTTGGGGTTTCCCCCAAGATCCGACGCAGCTCTTGTTCCGCCATTGAGTGGCGACCTTGCTGCAACAACATGAAGGCGCGGTTTAAGTGGAGACTCATAGTGCCTGGTTCTCTGCTGCGTTTTGGGAGAAAAAAGAATCGCGATGGCGGTTTACTTGAGGAACTTCAGCACATCGTCGTACACGCCACCCTGGTTCGAATACAGGGCATAGTTTCGCGCGGTCGAGAACCATTCTCGCGTGGTGGCCTTCAAACCTTTGGCCGACTTTAGCAGGTCTTTCGTCGTCAGCGGCTGCGGACGACCCAGCTTCATCGCCTCTTTCAGTTTCGCTTCAATGGCCATATCCACTACGGCCTTCAAGTCGGCGCCCGAGAACGATTCGCACTTCTTCGCCACCTGCGCAGTGTCGATCGCTTCTTGCGGCTTGCCCTTGAGTTGCAAACGTAAGATCGCGGCCCGAGCGTCGGCATCGGGTGGAGGGACAAACAACACCCGATCAAATCGCCCGGGGCGACGAAACGCCGGATCGACATGCCAGGGGGCGTTAGTGGCTGCCAGGACCAACACGCCATCGTTGTTGGTCTTCACGCCGTCCAATTCAGAGAGAAACTGGTTGATCAGTTGCCGTCCGCTACCACTTTGCATATCGCTGCGGCGACCACCCAGGGCATCAACCTCGTCGAAGAACAGCACGCAAGGGCGATTCGCGCGAGCTTGCTCGAACACCCCGTTCAGGTTGCGTTCGCTCTGGCCGACCCACATGTCGAGCACATCGTTGATCCCCACGACGATGAACCCTGCCCCAATCTCGCCGGCGGTGGCTCTCGCGATGTAGGTCTTTCCACAACCCGGGGGACCATACATCAAGATGCCCCCGCCGCTCGACTTGCCATACGCCGCGTACAACTCTGGCTGTTTCAGTGGCAGCAGAATCTTCATGCTGATCTCTTCCTTGAGATCATCCATTCCGCCGACATCGTCAAACGCGATCGGCGGATGTTCGATTTCGGTGGGATGCCAGTTCTCTTCGCCACCGACGGATGCTCGCACTCGACCTTCGAACACTTCCTCGTTGTCCGAGTCGACTCCCAACTGGTTGCCCAAGTCTTCGTCGGCCGCTTCGGGGTCGATCTCAATCGCCAGCTTGTACTGAGCCACCGCGTGCGAAATCTCGCCGGACCGCAACAGCAGCTTCGCATACAGCACATGGGCCGCAGCCGGGGCGTCGGGCTTCTTCACCATGTCTTCCACGATCACCAGCGACTGGCTGTCTTTGTCGATCTGCATATACAGTCGGGCCAGTTGCAGCTTCAGCGAGCTACTCTCGGGGTCCATCTGCAAAGTCTGCCGCAGTTCCTGCTCGGCTTCATCGAACCGCCCGAAGCTCATCAGCGACTCGGCCAGGTGAGCCCGTAGCGGAGTATTGTCGGGCGAAACCTTGAGGGCTTCGCGCAACGAGCGAATGACGTCATCTCCTGAGGACATACGGTCTCCAGATAAATTCGTTGGGTAGGAAAGTGAAGTGCGGCGGACCAACCCCGTCGCGCGCTCGCATGAAGACCGTCGAACCTCTAGCCCCTCGAGCGGATGTGATTTTAGATGTTTCAGAGGGGGGCCGCAAACGTAGCAAAACCACCGGCAGCCATGAATTTCACCACTCTGCAGGGAACGCCCTCTGTGGCGTTAATCCCACTCTACGCCGGCCGCAAATCCATTCCGCACCCGCCGCACGATGCATCGCCGGGAATCACGTCGGCCCCACACTGCGGGCAAGCGAATCGCACCTTCTTATTGATCGACGAGCCGGCCATGTCGGCAAAATACGTCCAGCAGTGCGGGCAGATGTGATAGGTCGTCGGCACCACCTTGCGACACTTGGGGCAGGTAAATGTTTCAGCCCCCAGCAGCGACGAGCCACTTTGTCCCATGCCAGATGATGAGGTGCTCCGCGGTCGTCGATGTGCGGCTTCTTGATGCACCGGCAGCGATTCTTCTTCGTGCATCGGCGGGCCCAGCATGTCGACCACCGAGTCTTCGGTGACTTCCTCTGGAACCGGTACGTAAATCCGTACCTGGCACTTAGGACAAAGCCCGGTCTGCCCGGCGTATTTGTCCTTCAGTTTGAGTTCGTGACCGTTGGAACAGGTGACTTTGATCGACATGGTGCATGTCTCCCCAGACGAAACCTTCGACAAGATTCCGTCGCCACTGGTTCACCGTGTTAGAAGAGTTCCCAACCCGGGTGAAACAGAACGAGCGCTATGGATCTATCTGCATAGATCCCTACAAAGCCACCCCAGCGCAAGAAAACAAGCAAGCGCCGCGATGACGTCGTTAACTGAAATTAGTGCCCGAACTCTGTTCCGTAGCGGAACGCTACGCGAAAGGAAGTGCGACGGTGAACAGACGCCCCATACGCGAAGGGTAATCGCCCCCCACCATCTGCAACCGATTCTAACCCCGATCGCAGATCGAGGCAAAAAATCTACATCACCGATCCAAAACCCCGGTGAAATGGTTTCGCCAGGGCTCTCTCACTAGTTGAGATCGACTCGCACCACCGCACCACGGTTGTCCGCCTTCGCGACGATGAGCTCCCGCGATTCCATTGCTGGGTGATGGGGCAATCGGGAACTCAGGTCTTCAGCGGCATGCTCATCGGGACAAACACAGAACACCCCGGGCCCCCACGAGCTTTGGGCAATTCCCCGCCCGCCGAATTCACGCAGAATGGCGACCGATTCGGCGGCGATCCCTTCTGCATAGGGCCCACCCTGAACGCTGGAGAAACACGCACCTGCCAGGTGCCCAAAGTAATCGAGCCGATCTGCAAAGGTGTCAAAGTCTGCCTCAAGTGCCGCCGGCAGCAACTCAATGAGTAGCGTCCTACACATCTCCGCGGTCACATCTACAGCGACCGAGGGCAGGGCATTCATTGCCTTCACTTCCGCGGCTCCGCTCAGCCCCGCACCTTCGCGCGGTAGCAACAACACGAAACGCCACTCCTCAGGCAGAGCAACCCGAGAGAGCAGGGGGCCGAAGTCGCGCGTGCCCCGCTTGCCGCCTTCGAGGATCATCCCACCGCCGGCGAAGCCATGCATGCCGACCGATGAGCGTTTCCCCCGTCCGACACGTCGCGATAGCTCAACCACATCGTCGTACGGCAAACCCTCGAGCGCCGCCATGCCGGCCGCCACCGCCATCGCCAGTTGCGTGCCGCTGCCCAAACCCACATGCGAGGGCGGAGCTTCGAGCACCTCAATCTTCGCCCGCGGTGCTCCGTCGGCTTGCGTGGTTGCCAATCGAGCGAACTCCGTCACCCGTTCGGCCAAGGGGCCTTCGGTCTGCAAACGCTCCCCCGGGCTCACCCTCAGCTTCACCCGAGGTCGATCGATCATGATGCCCAGCCCGCCGAATTGTCGCGCCGCCCCTTCGCCAAAGGCCAGCATCCCACAATGCAGCCGGCTCGGCGTACTCACCTCGACACTCGACACGGACATCACAAGACTTCTTCCAAACAATCAATCGCACGGCAGTCAGCATGAAGCAACGTGCAGTGTAACACCCCGCACCGCGGCTTGTTCAGAGGCGAGAACCTCTCAGGCCGAATCAAATCCAAGGGGTACCACTGGATCTCGATCCGGTGCGGCGCAGTCGCCAGAGGCGATCAGTAAGCTTCATCCATCAAGAGCGCGCAGCTACCCAAAGCGACTCTCGCCCAGTGCGTGCCCGATATAACTCGTAAGAAACGCCAAAGCCCGATGTTCCTGCGGTCCTCCCGTCTTCTCCACCGGGACCTTCAAACGTTGGATCTCCCGACGAATCTCTTCGGCAGGCAGAATGCCAACCCGCGTTGCCAGAATCGCAGCCTCCACCACGGCGTGCTTCGCTCGATTGAACCCGAAGAAATCACGAAGCCGGCCCTGATCGACCACTTCGGTCTCAATCTCCGCGCGAGCTTCACTATCGTCCAGCGTACTCACCCGCAGGGCATACCACCGGCAGGCCGACGTGAGTATCCCCCCGTCAACCGCCTCGGCCGGCACGGTATCCGGAGCCGGCGTCACTTCCCCCACCGCCGCCTTCGCCAGCAGCTCGACATCATCCACCACATGAAACACAGCCTCGCCCGTACGTTTCAAGTTTTTGAACGTCGTGGACGTCTGGAACGGCCGCAAGCGAAATCGGGTCAGCGCTTCGTCCACCACCGGCCCCATCGGCGAGATGTTCGGTGAACCGTCTTCGTTGAGCGTGGTCACAATGCCTTCGACAATCATGCCCGCGCCCTCAAAACGTCACCGGGCGATCGGGAACCACACGCGACACGGCCGCGACACTCCGCCGCTCGCTGTCGATCGTCGGGGTAGCGCCATCGATCGAAATGCCGGCCGCCTGCAGAAAATTTACCAGGATCGGATAGCCTACATCGGTCAGCACCGATTCGGGATGAAACTGCACCCCGAAGATCGGCCGCGTGCGATGGTGCAGCGCCATCACGGTTCCATCTTCTAACTGAGCATCGATCACCAATTCAGCAGGCATACTTTCCGCCTCTACAACCAGCGAATGATAACGACACGCAGTCACGGGGCTCGGCAGCCCAGCCATCAGTCCCTGTTGCTCGTGCAGTACCGGGCTCGTCCGCCCGTGCATGGGCTCGTCGGCCCGCACCACGCGTCCGCCAAACGCTTCAGCAATGGCTTGATGGCCCAGGCAGACCCCCAGCATTGGGAACTCATCCTTCAAGCTTCGAATCACCTCCAGCGTGCTGCCTGCCTCTTGCGGCGTACACGGACCCGGCGAGAGCACGATGGCCTGCGGTTGCAGGGCACGCACTCCAGCGACATCGATCGCGTCGTTTCGCACCACCTGCGTGCTCTGCCCCAGTCGCTCGAAGTACCGTGCGAGGTTGAACACGAAGCTATCGTAGTTGTCGATCAGCAGAATCATCAGCCAGCGGTGCAGTGCTCGAAGTGGTCAATCGGCAGGGACGGCTCGTGAAACTATTTCAGGGCTCGCAACAGGCCCTCGGCTTTGTGCCAGGTCTCTTCGTATTCTAAGCGTGGAACCGACTGGGCGACGATACCGCCCCCCACAGGAGCCTGCCACCACCCCCGGCCGCACGTGAACGTGCGAATGAGAATACTGGTGTCCATGCTGCCGTCGAACCCCAGGTAGCCCAGCGAACCGCAGTAGGCCCCACGAGCCACCTGTTCCAACTCGGCAATGATCTCCATCGCCCGAATCTTGGGGGCCCCCGTAATCGATCCGCCCGGCACAGTCGCCCGCAGCAATTCGATGGGCGTCACGCCTGGCTTCAACGTACCGCGAATCTCCGAGACCAAGTGTTGCACGAATTCATAAGTTTCCAGCCGGCACAGGTCAGCCACATAGACGCTTTCAGTTTGGCACACGCGCGAGAGATCGTTCCGTAGCAGGTCGACGATCATCACGTTCTCGGCCCGATCTTTCTCGCTGGCCTGCAAGTCGTCGCCGGCAAACAAGTCGGCCTCCGGCGAAGTGGCCCGTCCCCGGGTGCCCTTGATCGGTCGGGCTTCCACCTGGCCGTCGCTCACCCGCAGAAACCGCTCAGGCGAGGCACTGGCAAGCTGTCGGCCTCCCAAGTCGAAATAACCAGCGAACGTGGCCGGGTTCCGCTCCCGCAATCGAAGGTAAAGCCCCACCGAATCACCCGCCGCTGGATACAGCAACCGCTGGGCGAGGTTCACCTGAAAGATATCGCCCGCGTAGATGTACTCGATCGCCCGCTCGACGCTCTGCAGGTAACCCTCGCGGGAGAAGTTACTCGTCAGGTTCGGCACCTCACCCACGGCAAACTGCGGGGCCAGCCTGGCGGAGGGCAGGGGGGACGGGTCGTTCGTAGCCACCTTCTTCGAGATGGTAGGCGTCGACCGTTTCAAGCGTTCACGGAATTCCTGGAGTCGCCTCGCCGCGCGATCGCGACGCTTGCCCGGCGAGGTCTCCGGCAGACCGTGCGAGATGATCCAGCTTTCTTCCTCGACGTGATCGAAGGCCAGCACCACATCGTACAGCCCCATCGCTAACGCCGGGCTGTTGAACTCATCCCATTTCGGTGTCGGTAGCACTTCCAGTTGACGCCCTAGGTCGTAACTCAGCAGCCCCGCGGCCCCACCTTGAAACGGCGGCAACCCCGCCATGCGTCTGGCAGGGAACTGCTCCAGCTTCGCCTTCAACACCGCCAGGGCACCGTTTCCTTGCAGGGGTTGTTCGAGGTACTCGAAAGGGTCGGCCGCCACGAACGAATACCGCCCCAGGCTCGCATCGCGTCGCGCACTGTCGAAGTACACAATGTGCGGCAAGTCAATCAGCCGCTGAAACGCATCACACGCATCCAGCCCTGGGTCGAGCCGTTCGACCAGGGGTTCAAACGCCGCATTCGCCTTCTGCGATTCTCCGTCAACCATCAAGGCGTATCCCCCGACGACTCGCTCTCCCGCCGGCGACGTTCGCGATGGCTCACTTCTTCCTGAGTGAGCAGCCCCCAATCGAGTGCCTGGTCCTGGCGATACTGCTTGCCCAGTTGCAGGGCCATCGCCGCTTTGGCCATTTCGTATCCCAGGTAGAACGCATGGTCGGCCTCGATCGGCTTCGATGCGTCTCCGCTCATCTTTTCGAACAACACAAACGGGTCTTCATCGCTCCACTGGGTTCGCTCGGCCAGGGCATGCAGCTTGCCCCCTTCGGCGAACAGCCGGTAATTGCGGTCTTTAATCTCTGCCGCCAGTCGGGCCAACTCCTCAGGGCCATGTTCGTGAAGCACGGCGTCTCGCAGCATCACCAGGTTCGGCTCGACGTGCTTAGGCAACGTCTTGTTCGTCACCGCGTGATACATCAACCGCCGGGCCAGGTCGCACTCGGCCACCGAACTGCGAGCCCAGTTGATCACTTCGGTGGTCAACACGCTACGAATCCCCAGCTCCTGGCAGAACCCCAACAGCAGGACATTCACTCCCGCCGAGTCCACGTCGGTCAACTCGGTGAGGTTACCGATCCCCATCATGATTTCGACTTCAGGGTAACGTCGGCGAACCTCCAGATAGCGGCCCAGACTCGCGGCAAACCCAAACCCAATCGGCTCGATGATCGGATCAATCCGAAACGGCACTCCCGCGGCGGTGAGCTTCTCGATGCTCTCGTCCAGCCCGTCCAGCGTGCCGACCTTGTCGGGGATCAAAACCACCTCACAGCCCCAGTCCGCAGCCAGGTGCAGGTTGGTCTTATCGACGGACAACACCAGCTCCGCCCCCGCGGTGACCGCCGCCTCCACTTCCTTAGGGTTGAAGCTATCGATCGACACCCGATGTCCAGCGGCACAGAGCTCCCGCACAACAGGGCCGACATCTTGCCACGTCTCGCCCGGATCGCAACCCACGTCGATCACGTTCGCACCGTCTTCCGCCAGTTTTTCAGCCTCCGCGAGAATCACTTCCAACGAAAGTTGCGGGGCGTGGTTGATCTCGGCGATGATTTCCAGATCGTACTTCCCGTAATCCTCGGGACGAGCACCCTTTGCCCCGATGCCAAACGTGGCCGGAAGTTCCCGCAGGTCTTTGGGGCCACGTTCGACGGCCACACCAAGTTGTGTACCGAGCGAGTCGATATTTCCCAGGCAGAACCCCGGCAGTATCACCCGCGAGGTTTCTTCAGGCGCAGTAATTCGCGAGGCGACCCAATCGACCGTCATCAAGGCGGCCACGGTGATGGGCAGCGTCTGCACCGAATAGTCGAACTCCGCCTGCGGGGCGAGTGCGGCCAGCGTCTGTTCCAGCGCGGGCGCGGCCAGCCGGCCGGTGACGAAATGAATTCGTTCGCGTGTCATGGAAACTGCCGCATGCCGTTTCGGCGTTTGCTGCTGGCGGTCCTTCAACTAACCGAGAGCCCGCCATTGATGGGAACCACTTGACCCGTCATGAACGAGGAGTCGTCGGAAACCAGAAAACGAGCTCCGCGGGCAACATCTTCTGGCGTTCCCCAGCGCCCCAACAGCGACTCGGCTTTGGCCCGTTGTTGCCAATCCTCGGAGGCCTCTTCTCCCCAGGCCGTCTTGATCCAACCCGGCGCCAGGCAGTTCACCCGCACCTTAGGGGCCAGCGACTTGGCCAGGCTCTTGGTAAACGCCATCACGGCTCCCTTCGTCGCACTGAAGAATTGCCCGCTGTCTCCGGCCATCCCCACGGCCACCTGATCCCAACCCATGTTGACGATGACGCCGCCCTCTCGCTCGTTCATTCGCTGGCCCACTTCCCGCGCCAGGAACACGGTGGCCTGCACATCCACGCTCCACAATGCTTCGAACTTCTTTTCAAAAGGCCAGCTAGCACTCTCGCCGGTCAGCACGTCCACCCCCGCGTTGTTCACCCAGGCATTCACACGGTCGCGCCAACTCCAAGCCTGCTCGACAAGCGATGCTTGCCCTTCCCGGGTGCTCAAGTCGCTCAGTACCAGGTGTGTCTCGCGGCCCAACGATTGCACCTGACTCGCCACATTCTCCAAACGTTCTCGCGATCTGCGGGCATGCAGGACCAGGTCCGCTCCCGCGGCGGCCAGTTCCAGGGCGATGGCCCTGCCAATGCCCGAGGAAGAGCCGGTCACGACCACGACTCGCCCGGCCAAAGGGCGCCCTGCGGCGGAAGGTCGCTCTGCTGAAGTGTCTATCGGCTCGGAAGTGTTCATCATTCCTCGGTTGTATCCCCCGTACCGCGGGCCGGCAACTGCCGTAGCGACGCCGTCGTATTGAGGGCCGCAGAGCCTGCAAACCCGCCAAAGCACGAGCGAAACCCGGCATCTTGCGTCGAGAAGGGGACCTCTTTAGGTTAATCACACCTCGGCCGCCGCGGTTGAGTTAGAATTAGGTATTTACGCTTTTCCCTTTCCCGGCCACTCCGTAAGCAGTCGCTCACTTCACGCCCATGACACCGAATCTTCACGAGCAAATTGGCAACTCGGCCTTTGGCTTTCGCGGATACAACATCAACAATCTGGGGCGAACCAACGAATTGCTCAACCATCACGCCTATGGATCGGTGGTGAAGGAGCTGCTCATCGAAGCTTCGGAAATTGTTTCCGAGGCGATCAAGCAAAAGGTCGACCTGGTTCAGCGTGTGAACGACAAGGCCGAGTCGACGCTCGAGACCTTCGCTCAGGACATGGCCTTGGTGATTGCCACGGAGTTGGCGCAGATTCGCATCCTCGAGCAATTCTTCGATTTACCGATGAAGAAGGCGAAGGTCACTTTCGGCTACAGTCTGGGGGAAGTGGCCGCACTGATCGCCTCGAACGTCTATTCGATGCGAGACATCCTCGCGGCCCCGCTCACCCTGGCGGGTGAATGTGCAGACCTGGCGCGAAACGTGACGATGGGCATCCTGTTCTCCCGCGGTCCGGCTTTGGATTTCAACGCGGTGCAGCACTTGTGTGTCGACATTAACTCCGAGGGCCGCGGCGTGATCGGCATCTCGACTTTTCTGTCGCCCAATACGGTCTTACTGCTGGGCCAACACGACACGCTCGACCGGTTTCGTAGACGGATGCGCGGGGTCCTGCCCGAGAAGACCCATCTGCGTAAGAACGATCACTCCTGGCCGCCGCTACACACGCCGCTGCTGTGGGAGAAGTCGATTCCGAATCGGGCCGCCGTGATCCAACACACCATGGTCGGTGGCTTCACCACTCCCGAGCCTCCGATCATCTCCTGTGTCACCGGCAAGATGAGCTACAACAACCACAACAGCCGTGAAATACTCAACCAGTGGATCGATCATCCGCAAAAGCTGTGGGACGTGGTGTACGAAACGCTGGCCCTGGGCATCGACGTCGTGATCCACGTCGGGCCCGAGCCGAATCTGGTTCCCGCCACGTTCAAACGCTTGAGCGACAACGTCACCGCGCAGCTCAAGGGCCGCTCGCTC